CTGAAGGCGAAGGAAGTCTGGAGCAACAACATCGAAAATTTGAAGTTCAGTGTCGTCGAAGCTTGTTCAAAAGAAAATTCAATTTGGCAAGAAGAATCAGCAGACCAAAGGCATTGTTTTCAAGCAGAGAAAGTCGTTTGTGAGAGAACACTTGCATTTCAGATGCCCAATAACTCGTTCCAGTGCTCAGAAGAAGCGATTTTCTCAGAAGAATGCTATGGAGCGAAACGGAGATGCTAAGGGGAAGAGAAGGTTAAATATCCAGATGACATCGATTCTGATTTCGAAGTTGAACAATGTGTTCCTCTGGATGAAGAAGAAAGTGAGGATGGCTCTGAGGCTAACAAATCAGTACTGAAGAGGTCCAAGGGCAACACACATAGGCATAAGTCGATTTTTTCTGAGTTTCACGATGAAGATGCCAGGAATAAACACCAAAGAGAACACAAGGTATTTTTTTACCTTTAGAAGTATTTTTCCTAGTATCTGTGTTCATATAATTTATGTTTAATTTTGTCCAATTTTTTTATTGATTTATTTGTTGATCCTCACAAAAATTGTTGCTATCCATGTTGACAAGCAAATAATGTCATTGTAGGTACCAATGTTTATGTCTGTATAAACTATTTAGATCTAGCATATATGTTTTAGTGTTATTGTTGGTATCAATTGTTTGTTTCTTTTCATTAGGATTGGGAATTGGTTATTCCAAACTCAAGAGTATTGACCGTGAAGATAATCAACAGCAATGATAATAGTCGTTCTACCACACCTATTGCAGACATTAAGCGTCTGTTGTCCAACGATTAATTGGAGTTGTTTAGAAATTCTGCTTTGGGTAAATTTATCGACTTACCTCGTTGTAAGGTTCAGAACCAACTTGTCAATTTGATTTCATTGCGACAAGTACACCAGCCAAGATTGGATGAAATGTGGTTTGACTTCAGTGGGAAGATCATGAGATTCGGGGCGCGGGTTTATTCTATATCTTCAGTTGTGGTTTTATCTGTAGTTTATTTGAGGTTTTTTGTTGGTTTATCTGTGGTTTATCTGTGGTTTTTTTTATCTGTCGTTTATCTGTGGTTTTTTGTTGGTTTATCTGTAGTTTATCTGTGGTTTTTTTAACTGTGGTTTATCTGTGGTTTTTTGTTGGTTTATCTGTAGTTTATCTGTAGTGATCTGTTATGTTTCTTTAATGAAGGACACTACCTGTGTTATTGGAGGTATTGATATTGGTATACGGGGTAACCAGAATGTGGATGATCTTGTGTCGGTGGCCGACATTCCATTTGAGAAAATAAAATATGTCAAGCGATATTTCATATTGATCCCCATATTTCTTTCTTTGGTAAAATTTGTCTCTAGACGTGCTGACATCAAAACAAACATTGGTCCATACTCGGGAAAGGCAGAGAATGGTCCTCTTGATGTCATTTTGGTGGAAGATTT